AAATTTCACTCTCTGCCTTTAACGGCTCGTTGTAGCTCCAGTAGCTCCAGCCCCCACCCTCCCTGTGAGCACAGTGTGCTCTGATTGGTCGGGACGTTGTGAATCGCGCTGAGCTCCGTGGAGGTGTGGTTTCCTTGTTTAGCGATACACAGCGAAACACAGCCAAACTCACCCTGAGCACACACAAAGTCACAGCCGAAGTAAAAACAATAAGTGTGGCTTGATATTGAGTAAGAGAAAGGTTGATGAACGCTGTGAGAATGGGTCTGCAGAGAGAATGGGTCTGCAGAGAGAATGGGTCTGCAGAGAGAATTTCACCACGATCCCAACTGTCTGTTATCAGCCTGCAGCCAGGGAGGAGAGATCAGCAGAGCTGCCTGCACTGAGGTGTGTGTGTGAGGAAGTCCGTGGATTGGTCAATTTGGACCAATCAGCGGGGGCTTAACGTAACGGCTCCGCGGACGTAACGTAACGGCTCCACGGATTGGTCCATTTGGTTCCGGGTAACGCATGACATCATGAGTTACCCTGAAGAATCAATGGACAGTGACGTATCTCCAACGAGGCGTTTTGGGGAGGTCTTCTCTCTGTTAGAGTTTTACTCCTTACAGGGTGTACTTTGAGGGTTTTGACTCTGCAGACCGTTTACATGCAGGAAAACCTTCATAACACACAGACGGGTAATAACCAGAAAAGCATGACATGGGACCTTTAATCAAGTTCTTTGTTGAAGCTTTGATGTAAATTCAGTAGATTTCCACTTCCTCTCAATGGCTTGTTGATTGTGTCTCACCTGTGATGGCGTTGTAAGCCCCCCCGACGTTGGTCAGCAGGTCCGTGTAGACGAGGTTTTTGTTTCCGCTGGTCGCCTTCACGAGGCCGTTTCCTCCCAGCGAGGCAGCGAACGCAACTTTAGGGGTTTCTGCACAGAAGACATTCCTCTAGTCTTCCCAATCTGCCATACAAGACTTTTATACACACACATTTGTTCTCCAAATCTACAGATCATCTCACTCTTATCCTTTTGTGAGGCATCTCTAAAAGATTTCTCACCTTTCACTCTCTTCAGTTCACGCTCAGCCATGTCCAGACGCAAGCTCATCTCTGCAAACAATTTAAAATGTTAAAATCGCTGCAGACGGTGAACATCAGTAACAAAGAGACGTTATTTCAGGCGATATTTATGACCTAAAAGTGGTATTTATTTCTCATGAAAGAAGATAGTAGTCCTTCATTACAATACACACATGCTTTCAAACTTTTTAAAGATTTTGTTTATATTAATAAATACGGTTTACAGGTTTTGGGAATAACGGATTATATGTAACAAGATGACGTAATCAGGAGACAAGGGAACTTTATTTGATTAGATTTAAAGAATAAGAGATTACAGGATCGCAGTGTTACATCTTGACATACAGATGGATATGTTATAGGTAGACATACTATATTTCTTCTCACCTCATTCATTTAACAAAAATATATTCTATGTTTTAATTAAAGCTTAAACAGCATTTGCAACCTCTTCCTGTTACTACATTTTTTGTTATATAAAAAATATCTTGGTTTCGTTTTTTCTAAGGTCACATTTCTACACACTTCAGTAAAACAAATCTCATTGTTATTTATTTTCTCTTGTTTTTAAAAGCCAGCTGGATCTCAGGGACATACGAGAGTGACCCGGTGAGATATGTGGGGGAGCTTTATAAACCATTACAATATGTTTTAAATCAATTCTAAAGGACCCTGGGAGCCAATGCAGTGCAGCTCAAACTAACTAATGTGCTCTCCTTCTGTTTTATTTTATACTCAGATTAGGTCACTGATTACACTTTTTGACATGTGACTAGTTACTGTAAGGCAGCGGGTCCCAACCTTTTTCAACTCAGGCCCCACTTAAGAATCTAAAAGATGTTCGCGGCCCACATTCAACCATAAACAATGCGGAGGCTAAATAAAGTTCTGATTGGTTGATTCAGAACACGTTGTTAATCCAGCAGAACAGACCACTGTCAAGGACTGTGATGACCGTTGCTAAGGACTGTAATGACCGTTGCTAAGGACGATCAAGAAAGAGAAAGGAAAAGAGGTTCAAATAAAAAAAATGTTTAATAATGAAATGTTCCCACACAAATTATAATGTTTTGGAAGTTATTTGACGGCCCACTTGCAATGCCCTCAGGTTGGGAACCGCTGGTCTAAGGGATTACTGTTTTAAAGTCAAACCCTGGCGGTCTCACCTCGCCTCTCGACCTGCAGATCCTGCAGAGCGGTTTGAAGCTTCTTCAGATCCACCGGCTGAGCCGAGCTGAGCCGAACCAGACCGAGCAGAACCAGCAGGAGAACAGGAGCCATGATGAGAGACAGGAGGGGATACAGGAGGAGAGACAGGGGGGGAGACAGGAGGGGAGAGGAGGCGCTGCCCTTTATAGACTCGCTGTCTGTGGGCGACGGCCTCCTGCTGACTGAAGTCTCATTGATTATTTGTTGGGAATGCTGAGTGAGTGTTCCCAACAGGGGCGGTTCTAAGGGGGAGCCAACAGGGACCAGTACCCCCTAACACTGACCAGGGACCCCCCCCCCTGTGGCCCCCCTCCAAAAAAAGTTTACAATATTACGATTCATTGGAACTAAATCCAATCAGAGACCCGGATGTACAGTGGAGATTAAACAGAAAAAACGAATTCTCCAAATGAAAGAAAAAAAACTACTGGAACAAAGAACTGTAACTTAAATTTAATAAAATAAATTCCTTTACAAAAACAAATTCCAACTACTGTATTTCATGTTTATTTTTACACTATTACCTTGTACTGTCTTTGTCTTTTTGACCTGCCCCTCTCGTGAAATAAGCGGCCCCTGCCTGGCCCCCCCAGTAAATGGGTCTAGAAGTGTCAGTGTCCCCTGGCATTCATAACGTTTAATGATTACAGAAATATTAACCATATTTCATTCCAATTTTATTACAGAATTCCTCACATTTATATTTTAGCAGCTGTGCTTTATCCTCAGATCAGGTGAGCGTTGGTTTAACAGTTTAGCATCAGTTTCTCAGCATTCACACGCAATGTCTTCAGGTATTGCATTCTCTAGTTATTGATTGTTATTCTGGGCTGACTGCAGGGAAACAAATACAAAGGGTTTTCTTTATTCTGAAGAGATATGGCATGTAAAAAGAAAATGTCAGCTAAACAATGAGAGCCTGGTTTAGCAGTAGAAATTAAATATATCCATAGTATTGTGCAATGGATAAAGGAACGCTGATAAAACTGAAACGTTGACTTGAATTAAAGGTATTATATCAACAGATTTCCCATAACTGTATTAGTTTAGTTGAAAGCATTATATATATAATACACTGAAGTCGTTTGCAGTCCCAGTTTTCAGTCCACATTGCAAACCTTAAAAAGAAAGACGGACGTTTTTAATGCAGTTTCAACTTGTAAAGCCGGTTTTATGATAATCATAATATTAATTTATTAAAATGTTCTTGGAGTGATTCCATTATTTTTTATTAGTTTGAGTATTATAGGACATTTAACCTTTTTTAAATATGTTATTTGATTATTTTGGTGGTTATTCACATTCTTACATTCAGCAGTTTCGGGCCTCTGGTTACTGATTGGTGGATATTGATCTGGTAATTGATCCCTGCTCTCTGATTGGCAGTTCAGAGGTCAGGAGTCGTTATCTGACGGACCAGCAGTGCTCTCTGTTTAATCACAAATATCTGCAGTGGTCTCACAAAGGGTTCCTGTTTAAACCGGATTAGACCAGAGTTTAACTTTAAATGTGCTACACAATACTTTAAACTGAAGTTAAATATTAACCTTTAAAACATGAATTCAGTTTTTAACCTTAATGTTATTTCATTCTGTTGCACGTTGCATCGACTTTCTTTAAATGTCAGTCTACTTTTATTTTATGACGTGAAGTCATGTGACCGTGCTGTAGTTCCTTTATAGCCCAACATTAGCCTCCTTTAGCTTAGCGGTGGTGACGTGAAGTCATGTGACCGTGCTGTAGTTCCTTT